ATGTGTGGTTCCCACCTGTAAACTGTATTTCTCAAATGGTTTTTACCATAATATACTGCTTTGTACTTTTTTGGCTGTGGCCTTTATCCTCAGTTCACATCCTTCTTGCTATGATATTCCTTCTTTATTTCCATAGCACAAATATCAGTGCCATTCGTTTAGTGACCAATCAATAAATATTTGTTAACAGATTTATTCAGAAACAGGAGTACAGTAGTGGTTTGATAGTGTATGTATAATGTATTAATATAGAGTTTGATTTGAAATAAATTCATATTTTGATTTCTATGCACTAATGGAATATATGGGTCTAGATTATTGTAGAATCACAGATTTTTAGCCTTGACTAGCGTGTTATAAATTATCAAGTCCAAGCCTGTTTTCTTTTTTGTTTTTGTTTTTTACATGTGGGGAGATCAGTCATCTCTCTATAAGACACTAAGGTATTTGAGACAAGGAACTATTTTCTTAAACATTTCATTTCACACATAAAGCAATCATTTAAGTTATCTTTGCATTTTTGGGGAGCTCCTAGTACACACATGATAGGTCCCCAAATGTTAGCTTAACAGATTGCTTCATGAAAATGAATTTCACTAAGTAAGTATTTAGAACTAGATGTTGTGTGGACAGCCTGTGTTTGTGTCTTCAGCTTCTCACTGTTCCACAAGGAGCACCACCAGTTATCTTACTATCTCATTTTGCTGAATACTTCACTTAAGATTCAATTTTTATTTCTTGTTCATTCTTTTGGAATGACCCTCTGGATTTGCCTTAAGCAGACCCAAAATGGCCAGCTCTTCTTCCTGACTACTATTGCATTTGCTAAAATCCTAATTATATTGTGTCTTTGCCCTCAATATTTATAATGCCCTTCATTATGACGAAAAGAGGAGATCTGTGCTTTTACTTCCCTTTTGGGGAACCAAGGATGATTTGATCACGTCGTCAGGAAAGGAGAAAACAGTAGACACCAGACCAGGCAATTATCTCTTGGTCAGTCACTAGGAGGGACTCCCTGGTCTCCACGTAAATTGTAAAGACTGAGTGTTCAACTTATCTTTATTCATTATATTTCAAGTCTTAAAAACAAAATGATATTCTAGAGGGGGGATTTAATTCTTTAGCTCCCTAAGCCTCTAATTATAATGCACATGTTGAGGGAGAAAACCTGAGCACCTCCAGGCAGGTGCTCAGTTCTAATCAGTTCTAATCAGTTGTTTTCTGTGTGTTTAGAGCAAAATCCAAAGACTGTGGTTGGGATTTATTCCCACAACTGCAAGGTCAAGCCTTGCTCCTTCAGACCAGAGGGAAAACCAAACAGAATGGATTTTAGAAATTTCTGATCTAACCTTACTATTTTTCAAATGAGAACGTTCAGACTCAGAGAAGTTATTTGTTTAAGGTGATTTAATTGGATTGATAGTGACAGATCTAGGACGGACTGAAATTGGCCATGTGATCTCTTTATGTCAGCCTTTTGGTAACTGCCCCACTCGTTCCCTTCCCGTTCAACATTTGGAGTGATTTCATGACCAAATAGATGACTCATCTTGCATCCAAGTCCCTGAGTTCCTTAAATTCTTCATCTGTTGTGACTTTCATACTGATCTCACTTCTATCACCCCCCTCCCATGCACTGTCTCATCACCTATTACTCTCCACCTCTGAAATAGCTCAGTCTCTAAGTACAACATTTGTTTTTCTTTCTCTGGTTCTTAATGGCATAGGGACTTTTACTCATCTTGCCTTTATTTTCTCTTTTTCAGCCTACTCCGATGTTCCCTTCTTTCCCTGTCAGATTCCATGACCCATTAGTGAGCCACTTTTTAAAAATCAATATCCTCAACTCCCTTTATTATAGTTTTTCTCTGGGCTCATCTGACAAAAATCCAACTCTGAGGCCGGGCGCGGTGGCTCACATCTGTAATCTTAGCACTCTGGGAGGCCGAGGCGGGCGGATTGCTCGAGGTCAGGAGTTCGAAACTCAGCCTGAGCAAGAGCAAGACTCCCGTCTCTACTATAAATAGAAAGAAATTAATTGGCCAACTAATATATATAGAAAAAATTAGCCGGGCATGGGTGGCACATGCCTGTAGTCCCAGCTACTTGGGAGGCTGAAGCAGGAGGATTGCTTGAGCCCAGGAGTTTGAGGTTGCTGTGAGCTAGGCTGACGGCACGGCACTCACTCTAGCCTGGGCAACAAAGTGAGATTCTGTCTCAAAAAAAAAAAAAAAAAAAAATCCAACTCTGCACCTGTTTGTTTTCCTCAGGCTTCCACCAGGACTGATAAAAGCCAATGGAGAAAATCCGATAACTGGGCAGATGGATGACTTCCTATCAGTAGTTCTCAAAGTGTCAGCAGCACCAGCATGACCTTTGAACTTGTTAGAAATGCAGATTCCTAGAGCCCCCTCAGTGTACTGAATTGGAAACTCTCAGAATGGGACACAACAGTCTGTGTTTTTACAACTTCTCCACATAATTATGATATACTTTAATAAAGTTTGCAAAATGCTACTCTATTAATCTTGGGTTTGTGACCTCATCTGGCTATTAACACTGCCAATCTTTATATGTTCTTCATATTAGTAATATTCTATATTTTCCAAGTTAGTTTTTTCAAATCTTTTCCATTCTCCTCAAATTTGTGATATGCTCATCTCTCCTCACTCTCCAGAGGTTATCATTCTCTAACTTATCTTAGTTTGTGCTTGAACTCCCTAGAATTCCTTCCACAAAATTCTCAGACTTACTACAGTCAGTTGCAGTGGAAAAGTTCATGTCTGAGGCAGTCCTCACATTTGTGTTCTAGACTCCGTTCTCTTCAGCATTGGGGACTTTCCCTTTTTCTCTTTACCAAGTTCTCTCTTTCTACTGGCATCCTGCACCCAACCTCATCATAATTTGCATTCTGCATGTGCTGAAAAGCATAGCAGAGTTTGAAGAAGAAAGGGAGTGGCATTATCTGATGTATAGTTTATATCCTTCTTCTGTGGACAATTGGTTGCATGAGGCAAGAGCTGAAGCAATAAAACCAGTTTGGATGTTACAGAAAAGTCTGAAGAGAGGGGATGATGGCGTAGGCCAGGTTACTTGTAGTGGAGATGTAACAAGCTTTGGGCTGTGATTTGGAGGTAGAGCTAACAGGAGTGGGAGTGGGGGTCAAAGAAAATCCTAGTTTTTTGGTTGTAATAACTGTCTGGATGGTGATGCTGTTTACCAGAGCGAGGAAGACTGGGAAAGAATAAGATGGCTGGAAAAAAATAAAGAAAAATTTCTGGCCATGTTAAGTTTCAATTGCTTATTGAAGATCTAAATGGAAATAGTCAGCTAAATATTTAAGCCTGGACTTCCAAGAAGAGATCAGGAATAGAAATTTAGATTTAGGAATCTCTGACCTATAGGTAATACTCAAAGTTCTGGTATTTGACAAAGACACCTTGGGAAAGTGTGAAGAAAGAGAAGGTAGCCTGTGACAAAGCCCTGAGCTATCCCAATGTTAAAGTGGCAGATTGGAGAGAAAATTTCTATCCCAGAAGACGAAGAAAGAGCAATCGGTAGGTTAGGAGAATTTCTCGGAAGAAGGGAGTGGTCAGCTATGCAAAATTTTGCTGAGAAGTAAGTTAAAATAAGAACAGAGAATCAGCCATTGGAAATGGAACATGGAGGCTTCCAGAGAGCAGGACAAGAGCAGTAACAATGGCATGTTGACAACAGAGGTCTGATTAGAATGACTTGAGGAAATCACATTGTTGAATTAGTCCTGCCTAATCATGTAGTCTCACCTAAGAAGAAGCTGAGACACTTGTTTGTCCTTAACTCTAATCCTTGATCAATAGATTCCTGAAATCAATATAGTTCTAAAAACATGTGCTTAAGTTCCTCAAACTAATGCAAACTTTTGTAGAAACATGAGTGTTTGTTAAAATCTCATGTTTAAAAAGTTTAAATGAATGTGTCACGAATTTGAACAGAGCTGGAATGTTAAAAGTCAATACAGAATTCTGTAAAATTAAGCTGTCTTTGGAACTATTGATACAATGGTTACCACACCCAAACAATAACTACAACCACCATGACAAAACTAGTGAAGTAACAATAGGTACAGTATTAAAACAAATTGGAATCTAATATTACCTCAGATAAGCCAAGTTTAATACGATCGGCCCATAGATATTTGAGTTGGCAACACACACACACACACACACACACACACATACACACACACACACACACATACACATACACACTTGCCCATGTACGATTTTTATTGTCAAATCCTTTGAGATAGTATATTTAATTTCATGGTTGATAAAATATGAGAAACAACATCCTTATCAGCATATCTTTACTGGGTCCCTGATGTGGTTATGCAGAAAAGGACATCTGGAAATGAACAGTATATTGATGTCAATATTAGCAAAATAAAATACATAAAGAATCAGGTCTTAGCGAAATTTCCAAATCATAGAAACTGATTATCAGGCAACACAGGCATAGAAAATGGTGAACTAGCCATATGGCAAAGTGTCATCTTAGTGAGAAGACTGCAGAAAAGCCATACAACTAGTATAGATAATAATCATTAGTGAGTAAAGCTATTACATAAGAATGGGAGCCATGTGTCTTCTATAGAGTAAATGGTCTTTTGTTACCAGGATATTATATTCAAGTATGGTTTACTTACAATTGCACAAACACAAAATTCCCCTTTATGATGAAGCATTTTGGCAGAGAATCTTTCATTTGGGACTTTAGATACACCTAATCTCATACATAATATTTCTTTTGTTCATTTACACCCTCCTATTTTAAAATAGCAAAAAGGTATTGAGCACTTATTATGTGCAAAGCACTATATTGGTGTTCCCTTAAATATATGCGTAAAAGAAAGAAACAAGCCCCAAATGATTTAATCCTTGTTTTAGAATGAATGAGTTGCTGACATGCTAGTGCTGTTATCCAAAGAGTGTGGACACCAAACGTTTAGTTCCTACCAGCTCATGACCCCCATCTTCATCGAAGTCCTCCTCTATCCCATCAGTCATCTCTTCTCCATCGGCATCTGGCCCTCCTTCAGCAGGCTCCTCTGTAGAGTGATCTGCATTCTCTGACACACATTCCTCTTGGATCAGCTCTATACTCTCTTCCAATTGCTTCTTCTGAGCTTCTGGGGGGGGAAAAAGCAAATGACTACTACCTTGGGTTGTTCATGAGCCATTTGGATAAACCATGAAAAAACAGTCCATGAAAGGGCAAACTCTGTGTACTGTTACATGTGTGTAAAAAAGAAGGGAATATTATGTTTTCATTTGAAATTAATCATGTAAATTATGTACATATATCTACATGCACTTACAAGCATATTCATTTTAACGGAATTAGCAAAAATTAGGGAATCCAAATGGTAGTAGTATACAAATAAGCTTTATCAAAACCAATTGATCTTTTTGGATATTTTATTTTATATATAATGCTTTCTAATAAGGATATTCTCTCTGAGGGGAAAATGGAGCAAAAACAAAGGAGAAAAATATCATGTACAACATAGAAATTGTTCACTTAAGGATGTGGAATGGAGAAAGCTCATTGACAAATTCAAACCTAAGTGAAAAAGACGAAGAAAAACTCACTGAGGAAAAAAGTACAAAAACAGATACGTTGTTTTTCAGACACCATGTCTGTGAACAACCCTTTGAAATTTTAAAGTCTAAATTCTGTTGGCAGATGTGGTTCACTACTATGGTTAAGAACACAAAGTCTGGTGTCAGACAACTTGGGTTCAAGGTCAAACTTCATCACCTAAATAGCTTTGTGATGCTGTGCAAAGTTGAAATGATTAACCCTCCATGTGCCTCAGGTTTCTTATCTGTGCAATTAGGGTAACTATTTCCTAAACTTTCAGGGTTTGGAGTAGTAAATCAAAGTGTTTGTATAGTGGTTTGCAAATAATAAGTGCTCAAGAAATGAAGATACACTCTACATTAATAGAATTTCCTCTAGTCAGCAGGATCTGTGCATTCCTTTTACAGAAATCTACCCAAATGGAAATTATGCTGATAGCATAATAATTATTTCCCTTAGTAGTTTTCATCTCCTATGAAAATACCAAGAAGCATTAGATATTGAATAAATAAGATCATCATATATTCTTCCTTCTCTAAGTTATTTTCCTGTGTTCATGACTGTTCAAGAACTGGGTTATTTTCAGTAATTTTAATTATTGTTACTTTATCAAGTGAGTATCTCATCATTCAATTTGAGTTTTAAAATATGCTACATTTTGAGCTGACTTACTGATATCTTATGGCAATAAAGGTAGCTTACAGAGCTAAAAATATTTGGAGTATTCACTCCTGGTTTTTTACATAACATGAATTAAAAAGAAAATAGGCATTGACATATTTATTTTGACTCAGCACAAAACTTTTCAAACATAACTAATATGTAAATCAACAAACTAATAAAAATATGTTGTATAAATAAGCAGACATTTTTCTCATAAGTTGTTTAAAATTCTAATAATTACATCTATAAATAAATGTGTATCTATACATTATTACATTTTAATTCCCCAAATGATGAAGTTTACTGAAAATAAGACAGTAGTAGTATAAGGGTGTGCCTTAGCCCTGCTCTCAGACAACAGGATTCTGGTTCCAGCTTCCTTATTTATCCATAGAATTACATGGATAGACCAGACATTGGGTTTGGGTCTAAGTTTTGGGTCTAAGTTCCAGCTTCCTTATTTATCCATAGAATTACATGGATAGACCAGACATTGGGTTTGGGTCTAAGTTTTGGCCACTTCATCTGGTCATTTAAACACATTAAGTCATTCTTTCCTCATCTATACCACCTCTGGGGTTTGCTGTGAGAATTAACAGAGCTTATATTTGGGAAATGTCTTGAAAACTATGAAGAACTACATAAATGTGTACTATTATACACACAACAAAAGGATACAGTATACTCTTCATTGTGAATATGTTAAAGTAACAGCAACAACAGTATGCGGGGATCAAGAGGCCAGGTCAGACCAGGGAAGAATGGTGAAAACATCTGTAGGGCTGAGGCTGTTTCAGAAGAGGAAAAGTATTGGTAGATCCAACCAGGGCTAAAAATAATTACTATGGGCACCTAAAAAAGACCTAAACCTAGGCTATTTTTCTTTAAGAGAAGACATTTACTTCATACATTTAGACACAAGCTATATATTCTTGGATGTTTTTCTATCAACTTATTAGCTTCAAATTTCTCCATATGACAACATAAAATCATGCAGTGAGGATGTGAATTCTGCTTTTAAAACTATACTTTTTATCTTCATATGCACGAACAAGTGTACTGACCGAAGCAAGTATGGTAGCATAAATTCTTCCATTTTCTCTGATATCTATATAAACTTTTAGCATAGAAAGTCCTACGAAATGGTTATTGTAAAAAACTTAAGCAAGGGTTTTTTTTCCCTAAATATAGAAAATTATCACCCAAATTAAGTAGAGAAAAGTGATTTAAAGAAAAAAAAATTAGTTTAATCTAGAGAAGATGACCTAGGTATCTGGATTAAAATGAAGGCATACTAGGTAAGAGATATAGACCAAAATCACCCTCAATTTAACACTTACCAAGAATTTCTAGGTTTTATTCACCTAATTTTCCTTCCATGCATCATTCATTGCCTTCTGCAATTCTGGACCTTGAACCTAGGCTAACCCACCTACACACCTATGACCAGGATCCACTGAGAAAATGCTGTGATGGGCAGACTAGTTTGAGCACTGAAAAGTTTTGAATGCTCTGATGTGAATCACATCTATTATCACTGAGCCTTTGGACTGCACGGTGGATTTGGCCACTCTGGTTTTGGCTCTCCACTCCCTCCTAAGACTGTCTGACCTGACCCCCTCACTTCTTGCCACTCTAGGTCACCATGCTGCTTGTTCAAAATGCCCTGGCTTGTAATACCTGGCGTTGGTACCTCAAGAAACAGAGAGGAATGGAAGTTTGGGATTCTTATTTCACACAGTGAAAAATGCTCTTAATCTTACACTAATAACTTTTCCTGAAGACAAAATTTCTCAATTTTAAGTTATTGTGTTTATCTTTTTGTTATAACACATAAATGGACTTTTGCTTATGAGGACACTATACTGGGAATTCAACTGGTCTGGCATATCCATTTCTTCTCTAACGATTCTGGGTATATTTATTCTCTGAGAACCTTCACTTTTTCACGTTGAAAATAATATATATTTTTTTCTCTAGAAAAAACAATCTCTGGCCATGGAAGCATAGAAGATCCTTAAAGAATTTGTGTAGGACTAGACTTTAAAGATGCATAGCCTGCCTCTGGCTTTATCTACCAATTTGTTTCAGTTATCTTTGGAATTCAAGCTTGACTTTCCCAATCTTCCTAGCTGAATACAGTCCCTCTTCCTTTGATCAATCACGGCCTTGATCAAATATTATCTTAAAGCTAGTTCTACTGTTTTTTAAAATTCTTTTTCTCATTAGTGTTTAAGCTTCCTGGGAATTTGAGTTATTGCCTCACGAGGTCATTGTCACACTCAATGACATCTTTGATATCAACCGTGACACAGATCCCTATCTTTAGTAAACTGAAAAGCACAAGTCAGTTATCAACAATTTGATGTGCTCTGCACCCCTCACTGAATGCCTTGAACATAGAAAAGATATATAGTAGTTAGAAAGGATATAGAATTTGGGATCCACACTTCTGTTTATTACTAATCCTATTAACTGTAGTCTTCTTCTCTAAAAGGTGAGCCTAAAAATATTTCAGAGAGTTATCGTATACTCCAATGTGGAAAAAGATATGAATTAATTGTTTTTAATTGCAAAGATCACATGAATATGTTATCACAAAAGATCAAAATAGTTCTTGAGTTGAATCTATATTGATTACTTGATTGCTCTAGACATATTTTCTATGTCAAAATCATTCATCACTACTGATCATAAGAATAATGCATTATAAAGATAATTTTGGATTTTGATTTTGATATGGCCTTTCTATTTCTATGTTTAGATAGACATAGTATATTAAGTCACTCAGTTTTTTATACTAACATAAAACATGCATGTAATTCCTCTGATGGTGTATTTCAAAGGCAGTGGTGTATTAACACAGTTCAATGAAAAAAACCCTATAAATTATCTTCCTTCATCCAATCATTAGCTTGAAAGCTAAATGCTTGGAAGGCATTATTTGGGTTGAGAAACAAAAAGCTTTAATTATAATGGTAATTGATTCACAAGAGTTAACAGAACTACAACAAGCCTGTCCTTTAGTAATCTGTATTCAGCATAGACTTTTGCCATTATCTCAATGGGAAATGTTATAATCACTAAACAATGATAGGTTCTATGCATAAAATCCCACACGAAAGCTCATCTTGTTTATTAAACTGTTGGCTCACAGTTTAACAATCAGTTTGGATTCAGTAATTAACTTGTTGAAACAGAAAGAAATGAAGCAATTTGTTCTATTTTCTATGAATAATTTTCTAATTTTGCTTCTCTTAGAAATGAATAACATTGTTTAGTTTATTCTCAACTTTATAATATTCTCTTTGTGTAACTATTTTTCTAGTTATCATTCTTACTTTTTATCGTGAATGAGTGTGAGTGTACGTGTGTGTTTGTGCATTTATATTTCTGCCACTAAAATTTCTTTGGGGCAGAAACATTTTTATTCATCTTTATTTACCTGGTGGCTAACTGAGAGCCCTATACAAAAATCAAGTGTTTGCTGAATATATTCATGAATTGTTGTGGAATCAAATAATGAAAATAAATGTCTCGGTGTCAAATTCTTTTCATAGAGTCAAGGTGACAATTGAATTTGGCACTTTGGTACCAAAAATATAAATCCAAATGGAAGTTAAATAACAAAAAACACCTTACTACATTCTACTGACAGCCCCTCAGCATGAAGTCTAAGTGAAATGTAGGGTCTAAGATTTTCTTAAAAGAAAATTGTTCATGTAACATTGACAAGTCATCAAGTGAAAAATAAAATGTGAAGACTTCAAGTGCTTATGGGAGGAGGGCTGCCTTTTAACTCTGGCATCTCTTGGAGTCTCTGTTGGCTTCTTTAAGTCAGAGTCATGGATGACTATAACATTTCTTTTTTGAGTAGAGAAG